TTGTTTTTTGTGTTATAGAAGTCTTTTGCAAAAGATTTGCTCAAAGCAATATGTCGCTTCATTTCTTGACTAGATTTGATTAGTCATTGGAGAAGTACAAATCAAAACCACAGAGAGGTTCTGCTTCAGGCCCACTAAAATTGCTATTAACAGAAAAATCAAATGACAAATGTTGGTGAGGATGTGGGGAAATTGGAACCCGGGTGCACTGTTGATGGGAGTGGGAACTGGTGTCTCTGCAAGGGACGCTCCTTTGGGATAGACTCAAGACTCTTCAGCAGGACTCACACAGATGCTTGTTCATTGCAGCACTAGCCACAGTAACTTAAAGGTGGAAACAACCCAGTTGTCCATTAACTGATGAGTGGATAAACAAAATGTGGTCTGTGCAGTTACTACTCATTATAAATAGAGAAATGAAGGTCTGGTAGTTACTACTATAGGGATGAACCTTGAAAGTACGATATTGAATAAAACGTTGTTGTTAGGTGCCATCGAGTCAGTACTGACTCCTAGGGACCCTGTGCACAAAAGAACGAAACACTGCTTGGTTCTGTGCCAACCTGACAATCGCTGCTATGCTGGAGCCCATTGATGCTGCCACTTTGCCAATCCATCTTATAGGGTATCATCCTCTTTTTCTCCGACCCTCCTCTTTACCAAACTTGATATCCTTCTCCAGGGACTGGCCCGTCCTGCCAATAGGTCCGAAGTAGGAGAGACAAAGTCTGGCCATCCTGGCTTCCAAGGGGCACTCTGGCAGTACTTCTTCCAACACAGATCTATTTGTTCTTTTGGCAGCCCATAGTATTTTCAGTATTCTCCTCCAACACTGTGACTCAAAAGCATCAATTCTTCTACGATCTTCCTTGTTCACTGTCCAACTTTCACATGGATATGAGGTTATTGAAAATACTATGGCTTGCGTCAGGTGCACCTTAGTCTTCAAACTGATATCTTTGGTCTTCAACACGTTAAAAGACGTCTAGTGCAGCAGATTTGCCCAATGCAATATGTCGTTTGATTTCTTGACTGCTGCTTTCATGAGTGTTGATGGTTGAGCCAAGCAAAATGAAGTCACTGACAACTTCAGTCTTTTCTCCATTTATTTTGATGTGATTTATTGGTCCAGTGGTAAGGATTTTTATTTTCTTTGCATTGAAGTGCAAACCATACTGAAGGCGGCTGTGGTCTTTGATCTTCATCAATAAGTATTTTAAGTCCGCTTCACATTCAGCTAGCAAGGTTGTATCATCTGCATATCACAGGTTGTTAATGACTCTTACTCCAGTCCTGATGCCACATTTTTCTTCATATAAGTTTCTCTTATTATTTGTTCAGCATATACAGATTGAATAAGTATGGTGAAAGAATACAACCCTGACACAAACCTTTCCTAATTCTAAACTATTCGATATTCCCTTGTTCTGTTCAAAACAGCTGCCTGTTGTCCTGTGTACAAGTTCCTCATGAGCACAATTAAGTGTTCCGGAATACTCATACTTCTCAATGTTGTCCATAGTTTGTCATGATCCATATAATCTCAAGTTTTTGCATAGCCGTTAAAGCACAAGTGAACATCTTTCTGGTATTCTTTGCTCGCAGCCAAGATCCATCTGACATAAGCAGTAATATCCCTTGTTCCACATCCTCTTTTGAAACTAGCTTGGACCTCTGGAACTTCTCTGCCAATGTATGGTTGCAGCCATTTCTGTATTATCGTTAGTATAACTTTGTTGTTGTTGTTGTTCTGTGCCGTGGAGTCGGTTCCGACTCATAGCGACCCTGCACAGGGTTTCCGAGGCTGTAAATCTTTACGGGAGCAGAACGCCTCATCTTTCTCCTGTAGAACCGCTGGTAGTTTCGAACTGCTGACCTTGCGGTTCACAGCCTGATTCATAACCACTACGCTACCAGAGCTCATGGATATCCATGATATTGTCCGATGATTTCTGCATTCTGTTGGGTCACCTCTCTTTTGATTGGGCACAGATACATATCTCTTCCAGTCAGTTGGCCAGTTGTTTTCCAAATTTCTTGCCAGAGATGAATGGGTGCCTTGAGTGCCGCTTCACTTTGTTGAAAGATTTCAATTTTTATTCCATCAATTCCCGGTGGCTTGTTCTTTGCCAATGCCTTCAATGCACCTTGGGCTTCTTCCTTCAGGATCACTGACTCTTGATCATATGCTCCCTCTTGCAATGGTTGAACCTTGGCCATTTCTTTTCTTTTTGCCATTCCCAGCATAGTAAACCACGTGATTGTCAAATTCAGACTGGCCAATACCAGTCCATTTCAGCTCAGTAATGCCTGGGATATCGATGTTTTTGCGTTTCATTTCATTTTTGACAATTTCCAATTTTCCTAGATTCATGCTTCATGCATTCCATGTTCTGATCATTAATGGATGTTTACAGCTGTTTCTCATTTTGAGTTGTGCCCCATCAGCACATGAAGGTCTTAAGGGCTTTACTCCATTCGCGTCATCACAGTCAGCAAACTTTGAGGAGGCAGCACTTCCCCAGTTGCATTTTGAGTGCCTTCCAATGTGAGGGGCTCATCTTCCGGCACTATACCTGACAGTATTCTGGTGCTTTTCATCATGTTTCAGTATTCATAAGGTTTTCAGTGACTAAATATTTGGAAGTAGTTCGTGTCTCCTTCTTGGTCTGTCTTTGTCTGGAAGCTCAACTGAAATCTTACCTCCGTGTTTGACCGTGCTGGTATTTAAAATAGTGGCGGCATAGCTTCCAGAATCACAGCAACACAAAAACTACCACCGTATGACAAACTGACAGATGAGTGGTGGGCTGCATAAAACAAGCAGACACAAAGGACAAATGTATGGTCCCATGTATGTGGCATATGTGTTGTGTATAATGGAGGTGCATGATTCATTCCTGATTACCAGGGAGAGAGGGAAGTGGGAGGTTATTACTTATAGGGTACTGATTTTCTCCCTGGGATGATGGGACACTTTGGGAAGTGGCTAGAAGCGGTGTTTGGACAATGTGGTGGATGTAATTATTGTCACTGAAGTGGGCACTTAGAAATGTTAAAACAGGAAATGTTTGTTGTATATATTTCACCACATTAAAATTAAAAAAAAAAAAATTTTTTTCTTGGGAGGAACTATGTGTCAGACTAGTGCATAATTTAAGATGGCTTCTCAGATATGTTCTGCTCCCCGATTCTCCTTGTGTTCTGCTCTCCGATGTTCTTCGTGTTCTGCTCCCCGATTCTCCTCCCTGATTCTCCTCGTGTTCTGCTCCCCTATACTCCTCGTGTTCTGCTCCTAGATTCTCCCCGTGTTCTGCTCCCCGATTCTCCTCGTGTTCTGCTCCCCGATACTCCTTGTGTTAGGGTGTTTTCGGAGCTCTTCCGTTCTGGATTCATTTTAATAATTAGTTTGGCATCAAAGTAATTTATATCTTATTTGGATTATAACATGGATTTCTCATAGCACGCAACAGATTTGAGTATCTGTTATGTACCAGGCACTACACAACACAAAAACTTAGGTCTTTGGAAAATAATTTAACAACATGTCTCTAAAGTCCGTCTATTGGTGCATTTCTGCTGTTAGGTTTGACTTTATTTACAATCTGAGTTTCAGTGTTCCGTAAATTACTGTCTTCTGCTTAATTAGGTTTGGCCACAAGGTGGCATGGTTCTCTTGTGGGCTTTATTATTGCTGAAATACAAAGGGAAAAGAAATGCTCTCAGTAATGAGAATTCTCTCCGCTATTCAATGCTAAAATTTTTCGACTTTCTGTCAATTGAATTTTTTTGCAGTGCTTTATATAGTACTATAGAACTCCTTAAAAGATCTTGTTTATGTTCATAGCAAATTACGTAATCATTTCAGGAGTTGTAATCAGGACTGTAGTTCACAGACTATATTTGATTTAACCACTTGCTTCAATAAACGACAAGAACAAAACCAGTGAACATAAAGTGTTAGAGGAATATTTGCACCCAAAGGAATGAGAAGTTTGTCACTGCTGACTGCCAAACTTTACTTAGACATTCTTTTTGTCTGGTTCCAAAGGTTCATTGATTGAGATCGGGATGAACAGCGATGCCAAATGGTCAGCAAATTGTTAGACAAGTGGCCATCCCTCTGAATAGAATAGGACGGTGGGTGCCATAGACTGGGAGCTGAATATGTTCTAAGAGTTTTCACTTATTAGCTGGAAGGAAGGAAGGAAGGGGTCCTCCTCATTGCTCAGGATTTATGTATTTAACTCAAGTCTTTATAGGTGGAATTTAGATTACCTGGATCCTAAACTTCTGCTCTTTTCACCATTCTGTTTCCAAGTAGGCCTTATAGAGACGCCCCTTTATACCTTTGCAGGAGGGCGTGGGCGGAATTGGTATTTAGAGGATTACTGCTGTAGCTGGAACTAGGTGATCAAGAAACATTTTGACTATAAGGATGGAACTTTTTAAATACACCCCTTCCAGCCTCTGCCTTATTTGTGGGTTTTCCTAGTTACATTCTTTTTACCCATTCATTAATGAATATTATCTTGTAAGTTTAGTACTTGCTTGTCTAACCACCTCCACTGTAAAGTATGAGCTTATGGAGGACAGCAATCTTATTTTTAGATTCATTCTGTTTTCAATTCCTAGAATACTGCCTAAACCCAAATCAAGTGTACTGCCAGAGTCATTTCTGACTCTTAGTGACCCTGTTTGTGGAGTGTTTTTGAGGCTGTTTGTAAATCTTTATAGGAGCAGAAAACCTCTTCTTTCTCCCCCAGAGCCGCTGGGGGAGTCTGCTGACTTTGTAGTTAGCAAGTAGTCCAGTGTTTACTCCACTATGCCTCCAGGGCTCCAGCTCTGGCTCTGTAAGCGTCGGTGTAAGTCTACTACTAGAGAGGGCTCACAAGTTAAATGATAACGTTTCACTTTCTCCAAAATCTGATGTTTTATAAAGATAGACGAAGAGGAGTCTCACAGATGCACACTTACTGTGTCCCTTTTGCCTTCCTTAGGGTGACTGTGTGGTAACAGTGTTGCTCGCTGAAGAGGATAAAGTGGAGGATGATGTAGTGTTTTACTTGGTCTTCTCCGGCTCATCCCTCCATCACTGTGCAAGCACTCGGAAAATCAGTTCAGATACCTTGGAAACCATCGCTCCTGGTGAGTTTGGGATGCAATCTTTACTTGCCTTATGAAAAAATTAACATGATCTTACTATATCAGAAAATGGTAGGGGGTTCAGGAACACTTTTCTTTTTGTTCAGTAGTATACAGTGAGGAGTCCAGTGTGGTGCTGTGTGATAAGCACTGGGCTCTTAATTACAAGGACTGGCAGTACAGACTCACCAGCCGCTCCTTGGAAACCCTATGTAGGGTCACTATGAGATGGAACCATCTCGACGGCACTTCACAACAACAACAATACACAGTGGGCTGTTGTTGTTGTTCAGTGCTTTTAATTCTTACTGAAACACTCTTTATTATTAAACCACGGATTCTGCTTTGCTGATAGTGTTGTTGTGAGGTGCTGTTGAGTCGGTTCCAACTCATGCACAACAGAACAAAACCACTGCCGGTCCTGTACCCTCCTCACAATCTTTGTGATGTTTGAACTCATCTCTGCTACCTGTGTGTCAGTCTAGCTCATTTACCAAACATGGTGTCCCTCTCCAGGGACTGGTCCCTCCTGAGAACATGTCCTAAGGAAGAGAGATGAAGTCTGGCCACCTTGGCTTCTAAGGAACATCCTGACTGTACTTCTTCCAACACAGATTTGTTTGTTGTTCTGGCAGTCCATGGTACTATTGGAGTTCTGGTGTGGTACTGTAGGATAAGCACTGGGTTGCTAAGTCAGTTTGAACCACTAGGTCAGCGGTTCAACTCACCAGCCACTCCTTGGAAGCTGAGTCAGAACCTACTGGAAGACACTTAACAATAACAACATAGTATTTGTTATTCTTCCCAAACACCATAATTAAATTGCATTGATCCTTCTATGGTCTTCCTTATTCATTGTCCAAGTTCCACATGCATTTGAGGCTATTGAAAAAAACATGGCTGGGTCACGCACACCTTCGTATTCAAATTGATGAACACTTTAAAGAGGTCTTGTGCAGCAGATTTGCCCAATGGAATACATTGTTTAATTTCTGGACTGCTTGTTCCATTAATGTTGATTGTGGACCCAGACATAATGAAGTCTTTGACAACTTCGATCTCTTCTCCATTTATCATGAGGTTATTTGTTGGTTCAGTGATAGAATGTTTGTTTTCTTTATATTGAAGTGCAATGCATATTGAAGATGATAATAATATTTGATCTTCATCAATAAGTATTTTAAGTCCTCTTTTCTTCTAGTAAGCAAGGTTGTATCATTTGCTGATGTAGGAGGTGTAAAATATTACTAATTTATGAGAAACTTTCAGTACTCTGTCTTGCTGGTATTGGATCAGACTGCCAGTGTGTCATTGCTGTGCTCTTCTGTATAAACTAACTTAATGTCTGATGCCGACCAAAGCCTGAAAATCAACATACATTCAAGAATTGCAATTGAGTTAATAATGAACTGCATTTCTCTTCTTAATTGGGACTTCCTAGGAACATTGCCGCTTTCACCCCTCCACATTTTCAGGACAGGCAAAGAAGCAGGGACTGATTGCCTTTCTGAAGAGCGTTAGGTACCTTCCACTGGAACTTGAAGCCCCGGTCATCTTGTTTCTTGTGCTGTGTATCATGTCACAAAGGCTGCTCTGGAACTTGAGGAGGATTCCCTAGCAGGTGCCATTCAGCATCACCCCTGCTAAGCAGGTTGTGTGGGTTGGCAACAGCTCGGAGGATTTCAAGTAGGTGTGATCCGTCGCTGAGTGGGCTTTTACTCAGAATAGAATGGAGGTCGTTTTTACAAACTTATTCCTTCCTGAATTGAGACGTTTGAAGTTTGGTGTATGTGTGTTTTTGTTGTTGTCCATGGTTGTTAGTCTTTGCAGGAACAGAAAGCCTCTTCGTTCTCCCATGGAGCGCCTCATGGTCTTGAACTGCTGAACCTTGTGAACGGTTAGCAGCCTAACTTGTAGCCCACTAGGCTCCCAGGGCTCCTCAGTGCTTCTCCCATGGAGCGTATATAGTGACGGCACACATTTGGAGCATGTAAGCAGATGGAAGTAGACTAGAAGCAGATATAAAGATGAAGGACAACTATGAACAGGGTGTGACGCGGGGGTCACCGCTGCGCACTGCAGTTACAAGGCCCAGCTGGAATCAGCCTCTTGGATGGAGAGGGATGTACCTGGCGGGTCTCACAAGCTCACTAGAAGGGGCGGTGGGGGGTGGGGGGCATTTACTATTCTAAGATGTGCAGACCCACTCTGCTTGTGGGCAGCCTGTGGGCTCTCTGTTTATACCAGGTCCTCATACAGCCTGCCTTTTGGATCCCTTTGTTCCCATTGCTTCCCTTGAGTTCAGCTCTAACAGCTCCTTACAAATCCTCGAGCCCCTCTCTCCAGCTCTCTCCATTGTTCAGGGCCCATTTGGACTTAGAGTCTTCGTACCCTGTTGACACCAGCCCAGCTGAGTAGAAGTTGCATTGTACGGCTTTCCTCTGATTTGATTCAAATTCTGTCCAGTTTGCTTGGGGCCTGGAGTCTTCATTTAGTACCCATCAGCACTAGTTCCCTTAAATTGTGAACGGCCCCACTTCCCATAGTCTCTAGCTTGCTTATGAACTCAAGTCCCATCTCCTTGAACATTTTTCTACTGCTCACCCAATTTTTGTCAGGCTTCAGGTAAGAGGTACCTAAGGAGTCCTGGTGTGGCACTGTAGGGTACGCACTTGACTGCAAGGTCGGCGGTTCAAATCCACCAACTGCTCCTTGGAAACCTTAACACAGGGTCACTATGAGTCGGAACCAACTCAATGACACTAAATAACAACGTCACAGCAGTGGTTAGGATTAGAGTTCTTGAAAGAGTTTCATGTATGGGCACCCCAGATGTAAGGCAGCCTGGAATTTGCCACAGTGAGTGTAACAGTGAGGTCCCCAGTGAGTGTAGTAGGATAAGAACTGGAGTGCTTGCCAACTTGCAGCTACTCTGTAAACGGTTTCTGGGGAGTGTCTGTTGGGTTTGAACCTCCGACCTCTTGGTTAGCAGTCCTGTGTTGATCCTACACTAACATATCAGGACTCCTATAGATTAATAGACCGTATAAACTTCTTATAGGACTCCTGGCGTGGCACTGGGGGATCAGCGCTGGACTATGGACCACAAGGTCAGCAGTTCAAGCCCACCAACTATTCCTCAGAAACCCTATATAAGGTCACCATGAATCAGAACCAACTCGATAGCACTTAACAACAACAAAGGACTTCTTGAAACAAACCAACAATTCAAAAATTCCATCATTTTAGGTAATTGAGAAAAATTGAAATTACATAGGTTATCCAGTGACTCTAAAAAAAATGATTATCTATTGATACTTTAGTTAAATGTGATAAAGACATCGCACCTACGTTGTTTATAAAGCCCTTATTATCTTATTAAAGAGCCATACCAAAGTGTTCGTGATGAAATGAAAGATTGCCTAGGATTTAGTTTAAAATATTCCACCCACAATGGAAGGGAAGAAGCAGATGAATTGAGAATGTTGATAATTTCTGAATTTGGATATAGAATACATGTATATGTGTTCATTTGTTTTCTCCCTAGTAAATGTTAAATGGACAGAAAACCAAAAACAGAAACCTGAACCCTGAAGACTAACATCTGATAATGCCCTAAAACATTATCTTTTTTAACCTTACTTTAGAATCTATTTTAATAAAATAAGAGCAGGCTAAAAATTCTAGTTCTTCCCCTGTTTCTAAAATTGTATGCTGGCATGACAAAACAATACATTTAAAAAGTTTTATATGAACACTGAAAAACAAAACTCAAATGCAAACTGCAAGGCTGGAAGTTCAAAGCCTCCAACTGCTCCGTGGAAGAAAGATGAGGCTTTCTACTTCTGTAAAGATCTAACATTCTCAGAAAGCCCATGCACGGTTGCTATGAGTTGGAATGAACTCAACGGCCGAGGGCTTGTTTGGTTTCCTATTTAAACAAAGGAGAGCCTGAAGACTGCCTTGGTCATAATTTATGACGTTTTCTGTTTATCTTTTTCAGCAGCTATCCTATAAATTTGTTGTTGTTGTTAAGTGCCTTCAAGTAGGTTCCAACTCATACCGACCCTGTATAGAATTTCCGAGGAGTGGCTGGTGAATTTGAACTGCTAACCTTGTGGTTCAGACCGATCTTGCAGTCCAGTGCATTATTCCACAGAGCCACCTCAGGACTCCTTCATCGACTAGCGAGTTTGAACCGCTGACCTTGTGGTTCAAAGCCACTTTGTGGTACTGTGCTTACCCTACAATGCCACACCAGGACTCTCTGTTCTTTTCCCCAATGATACAAATAAGAAACCCAACATTAACTTAACACCAAAATGACCCTTTCTTTTATCTCTGTACAATATATTACTAGCGGTAGGATAAGCAATTTGCTGTTTGAACCACAAGGTTGGCGGTTCAAACTCACCAGTCACTCCTTGGAATTCCTATACAAAATCTCTATGAGTAGGAACCAACTCAGCGGTACTTAACAGTAACAACCACATTTAGATCATGGAGTTCATTTTGTTTTTGTTTTTGTGTTTTGATCACGGAGTTAATTTTCTATCCTAGAATTAAACAGCCTTAACTCTGGACTCCTTTGTTTTAGATGCTCAGGTAACTCCAACCCCTCCCTCGGTGAGGCCTTTCCTGTCTACCTGACTGAACCTTTTGACAGCCGCCTGTCCACATTCCCTGCCACCTCTTTGCTTTGTTAACCACACGGCTAACAAAGGAAGCAGACGGCCTCATCTTTCTCCCATGGAACTGCTAGTGGGTTTGAACCACCAACCTTGTGAGTAGTAGCCCAAAGCCTAACCCTCAGCACCACCAGGGCTCCTCGGCACACAATGTTAAGTGCTGTTGAGTTGGTTGCAACTCACAGCAACCATGTATAGGGTTTCTGAGGAGTGACTAGTGGGTTTGGACCCTTGCCTTATGATTCTCTGTCCAGTGCTTACCCTAGAGCTCCACACCAGGACTGTAGGTTTGGTTAAGTGCCATTGAGTCGGTTC